AAATTCCCCCCCTTTTTTTTTTTTTTTTTTTTTTTTTTTTTTTTTTTACAGAAAAGTATCACCATTTTCTCCTTTTTTGATTAGCCATCAACTGGAAACCTCAAAGACTGGAGGTGCCAAGGGGATATGTGACAGGGGTGTTGGAAAGGCAGGGGGAGGAAGGAAACAATGGAATTTCCTAGAGAAAGCTCCCTAGATAAGTTTGATTGAGGCAGTGCTCCATAAGGCGGTAATTCAGAGATGCTGCAAGAGGCCAGAACTGATGCAGAGAAGGAAGGGTGGGAACTCCTGCCAGACAGAGAATGTAGTGCTCAGGCAAACATGAGTCATGATGTGGGGATTGAAGTGTAAGGTGTCACAGATCTACAATAAAAGCCCAAGAACTCTCTTAACCAGTGAAGCCTGGTTCTGGACCAGGTCTCCTCGCAAAGAGCTAGAAGCCAGAGAATTTATACATCAGTTTTGTGTTTATGTATGAGGGCACCAGGGCAAGAGAGGCTGGTGCTAAACTGAAAAAGAGAATAAAAATAGTGGCTTTTCTTAACAACAACAACAAAAAAATACAAGACATAATTGCTTCTCAGCGGCTATTGCCTAAACACAGTTAACTACTTAGTAGTAAAATTCTGCTACCTTTCCCTGATGACAGCAACTCCAGCACTTAGCAGCTTCACACATGCAAGCCTTGTACGCCCCTAATGCTCTCCCAAATGTTTAAAAAGTTCATTTCTCACCATGATTATAACTGCACTTTAAAACAAAGCAAACAAACCAACGGTCCAGTTCCTAAGCAAATCTTCCCACTGACTCTCTTCAACTGATTAAACAAAAAACAAAAAAAAACAAAACAAAACCAGAATGCATGGTTACAATTATTTTCTGTCTTATTAGAATTGGAAAGATTCAATTCAGGTGCTTGAAAGGAAGGGCAATGACATCCAATTTCTAGACTTGGAGAGTCTGTGAATTTTCAAACATGGGGCTGGTTTCACAGCTTGGCTTGCATCGGCTTCAAGTGTTTGTGGAAAGACTCATGAACCTGTAGGAAAAAAGGGAGATCAGGTAAAAAAAAAATCAAGTTCTTATTTGTAATAAACATACACAAGGTATCTATACATGTACTGAAGCACTGAAAACGTGGCCACTTCTGGGGTACAAGAGTAACGTCTGAACTTGTACTATGGCACCATTCACAATACAGGGAGGAGGGGGAAATCTGTCCAGAACAGGAGTGTCACCCCATGCTACTCACAAAAAGGACCACACCACACATTTCATTTCTATAAAGAACAAATAAATTCCAAAAATTTAAGAAGGATCTCATTTGAGAGAGAGTAGCTCCCAGATAGTCTTGGATGCACAAAGGACTGAGCCGACTCCAACCTGCAGGGTCATAGAAAAAGTAAGGCTGGAAGGAACCTTGGAAGGTCATCTAGTTCAGCCTCCCGCTCAAGGCAGGATCATTCTTGACTACCATGCCAGCTAAGTAGTTGTTCAACCTGCTCTTGAAAATAGGGAGATGGATCTTCCCAATTTCCAACCTAAATTTCCTCTTCTGCACATGGGGCCATTGCTGTTAGTTCTGTCCCCTACAGCTACAGAAAAAAGTCCATCTTTATCCTTTCTATAAATCGCCTTTCAGGTATTTGAAGACTGTTATCAATACCCCTCCCACCGCCCCCAGACTAAAAAGCCCTAGCTCTTTCAGCCTTTCCTCATAAGTCGTGCTTTGTAGGCCTCTAATTATTTTTATTTTTTGCTCTGGGCTGGACTCTTTCCAATATGTCCACATCCTTTATGAAGTGTGGAACCAAAACTGGACATGGTATTCCAGGTGAAGCCTCACCAGGGCTGAACAGAGCAAAGGAATCACTTCCCTTGATTTGCAAATGACACTAGTTAATATAATCCAGTATCCTGTTGGCCTTTTTTTGCAACAAGAACACACCATTGGCTCATTTTCACTGTAACCTCCACGTCTTTCTCTGAAGTACAGCAGCTTAGTCAGTCATTCCCCGGTCTGTATTTATGTATGCACTTGTTCTTGTTGAATTTAATTTGGTTGACTGCAGACCACTTTTCCCTGCCTACCCAGTTCATTCTGGATGACAGTCCTACCCTCGGCGGTGTCCAGAACTGCACCCAACTTGGTGTCATCTGCAAATTTGCTAAGCGAACTCCTTCCATATTCTTTCTTAGTTTCTGGCCAAGAATAACTGCTTCCCAAGATAAAGAAACTGTCTAGGGAGGGGTTGGCAACCTATGGCCCAGGGCTGGATCTGGCCTGTGGAACTTGCTTGAGCACCACAGAGAAGCAGTGACAGGGAGAAGCAGCGGCCGAGTCCTACAACGGGTTCCCTTCAGACCCAACCTGGCATATTCTGGCCTGCCACCAGGATACATTGTTCATACCAATCTACAGCTCATCACCCAACTGTCTTGCTTTGCTTCTGTGGTAGCTACAAACAGAAATCAGAAATGCAGCATCTGACATTCTCATACACCTAAGAAGCAACAATGTTGATTTATTTCCTCAAATTCATACTGTGACCTATAGCCACTTTTTCCCTGCAGAGTCCTCCAGCAGGATTTTCATGAATACCATTGATATGACCCAAAATATTTGGTTCACAACAAGAAAAATAGGAGCTGGAAGGAACTAAAATAAGGGTTCCTTACCTCAGTTTTGTTTAGGGGGGATTTCTTTGCCCACTCAAACATGTTTTCATAGATGTTGCCATCGTAGCGTCCAAGCACAGATCCAAGATGGGAATCATGAAAGTCAAAGGAATCGACTAGTGCTACAGCATTGGGGCGGATTACAGCCAGGAGATCCTTCACCTGCTGGTATACCTGAGTAACCTGTGCATCTGTCAAAATGCCCCCCTTGAACAAAAGCCAAGAAACCAAATCAGAATAGGTTCTTATCACAGCCATATAACCTCTCCTCCTAGGACTGTATGTGAAAGACTGGCCTGCAGGCCTGCTCTCATGCAAGGAAAACTAGTTCATCACACAATATTAAATAATAACAAAATGCCAAGTAACCAGGCTGATAAGAACAGACATGTATAGGTCTGTTTTGCATGACAAAAAACACAGGACAGTAGAACAGGACAGGACAACCTGGGTCAATGAAGCCAGTCCCCTGCAGGAAACCATGTAGCTATTAGTTCCAAATGTTTCAAAAGAACATCTGCTTCAGCTGCTCCTCACACCATAAACCCCCAATGTCCCAAAAATTCTTTGGTAAGCTTGGGATGTTAGTAGAAAAACCAAAGGCCTCAAAAAAGGCATAATAACAAAGGTAGTTTCTATGTAAGAGAAGGACCGTTTCCCTGCCAGGCTGTTAGTAAGGGAGCCTGGTTCTTTAGAGTACCTGTTTTAACCCTCAAAGCAGAGGTATTCTTTGCACATGCCTTGTATTACGTTCAATTCTTCCAGTTTTCATAATTATTTTTGGCAAATGGAGCAGGGAAGAATCAGAGAAAAATGTAAGAAGACTTGTAGGTATAAATATTATATTTTCTTGCATATCATACACCCCCAAATAAGGTGTGTACCTGGTTTTTGGGAAGGCAGAATGAAGGGCAGAAAATGTTATGGCCCCATAGATCAGCAACATAGCCTACATGACCTAATCAGTGACCTAGTGATTGATGGGAAGCTAGGTGACAGTGACCACGAGCTGATCACCTTCACCATCTGCCGGAAAGCTGGTAAGTCAGTCAGCAACATGGAAGTCCTTGACTTCAGGAAAGCCAACTTTGACAAGCTCAGGAGCCTTGTCAGTGAGGCCCCTAAGGGACCACAACCCCAGGGGGAAGGGAGGTTCAGGAATAGTGGTTGCTCAAGGGAGCGATCCTCAATGCACAAGCTAATTCTATTCCATCTTGGAGGAAAGGCAGCAAGAAGGCACAACAGAACCCTCCTGGCTCTCCAGGGATCTAGCAGATGAAGACTAAAAGGAAAGGCCTCCTGAGGCTAAAAGGAAAGGCCTACAAAGGATGGGATTCACCTCCAAGGAGGAATATTCTGCACTGGTCTGGTCCTGCAGGGAGCAAACCAGGAAAGCCAAGGCTGCAACTGAACTCCAACTAGCTTTGAGTATCAAGGACAATAAAAAGTCCTTTTTCAGATATGTGCGGAGCCAGAGGAAAAGCAAGGGCAACACTGGACCCCTGCTAAACCAGATGGGACTACTGACGCCCAGGAAAAAGCCAACCTATTAAATGGGTACTTTGCGTTGGTCTTTCATCAGTCCTATGGAACGCCCATGCCCACTACAGGACAGGGAAATCCGGGTGAGGGAGATTCTCTGCCCTCCATCAATGCTGACCTCATTGAAGGAACACCTTGAGAGGCCGGATACCTTCAAGTCAGCTGGCCCTGACAATCTACACCCCAGGGCACT